TGAATGGGACCCTAACACAGAAAAAGGATTGCAGGCGGAAACTAAAGAAATCTGAATAAACTACATAATATATCAATAACATATAATAACGTATATCCTATGAAGAATATAATAACGACCTGTCAATATGGGTTCGTTAATTGTGACAATGTCCCATACTAATGTTAAGATAGGTAATAGGAGAGATTAGGAGTGTAAAGGGAACTCTGTACTACAGTCACAATAATTCTGTAAATCTAAAGTAAGAAGTCTGTCGAAAAACAAACAAACAAAAAAGGGAGAGGACTAGCTAATAGAGCTGGGGATCAAATCATTACCAGCCCAAGGGGCAGAAGGCCGCAAGGCAGCCATGACAGGCAGGCAGGGGCGGTGCCACGACCTCCTTGTCCCTCCCTTGCAGCTCCATCTGGGAAGCCCTCCTCTGAACTTCGTTTCCAGCTGGCAAATCCCTACGCTTCCTTCAAGACCAACAGCACAAATCAGACGTTACCACTCCTAACACACCTGCTCAGTCATCTGTGATCTGTGACTTCAGACTCAGCAAATTTACTGCCAATTTATTGTTTACCAGATACGTGCTAGATGCTGGGACTAGAGAGAACAATGTCACGAGCCCCGAAGAATTCAGTCGAGTGACAGATCTGATCTCGGCACGGTTCACCTTGCCCTGTGTTCGCTTTTGTGTGTGTGCGTCTCTCCCTGAAATAAACTACGAGCTCTGTGAAAGCAAGGACCACTGCCTTACTCAGTTCTTCATTCCCAGGGCTAAGTACGATACCTGCACACGGCGATGGACAGAATGCTTGCTGAAAGAAAACGGAGAACTAAATTCTCCTTCGGTTTAGGTGGGGCTTGCTTCTAGGAAAAGCAAACTGAGAAGTCTGCAAGGCTTTACACTGGTAGGTGATTTTAATGATCTGCCAAAAAATCCACCCCGCCCCCTCCCCCCGCCCCAGCTTTTAAACAAATCACACTCATTGTGGGAACAGAATGTACCGGCAAGAGACGACTTCACCTTCAAGCAGAAGAGAAAACCATACGGCAGCTCCGTTCTTCCCGCGCAGAAAAGCTGGAAAGCTGCCTATCACTGATGTGACCGGGCTTTTCCTCGCTCCCTGGCCTGGCGTGTGGGCTCGTCACCCGGACTAGATGGCTAGCAGAAGGCATTTCTGAAACTACCTAAATGTGCACATTCCCATTTACAGCTCACTGGCCAGAAAGGTCCCATGGCCGTCCCTAGCTCCACGTAAGAATTTAATTCATTCTTCCAGCCTCTGAAGAGACACAGAAGAGAGGAGTTAGGGAATCGATGTTGGCATATGCCGTGTCTGCCGGCTGACCTCCCCGGCTCCCCCCAGAACATCCATTGTTCTTCCCCTAGGTTCACCCTTGACCTAGAGACGAGTCCAGGTATCTTCCAGTTATTGATTCCAGCCCAGAATCTTGGGGGTGAAAGGTGTCCCTACTTGGCACACACCTACAGCTGAAAGGCCGGGTCCCCTGCCCTGAACATGGGACTGGGCGTACAAAGGCAGGACAGGACCAGGACAGCTGAGCGTGCCAAGTCCAAGTGAACACGACAGCCTCACCTAACGGTCTTTCAGCTGAGCACTGTCTCGTGGCAGCTGGTGTCCAGGGTTCCAGCCAGTCGCCTCCCCCGTACTGAAGAAGTAAGGCTGTGGTCTCGGGCAGTTCAAAACCATCCTTTCCAGTGGGAAAGCCGCCCGGTAACTCCACTGGTGGAGTCTACAATCTCCGATCTGAATTCCGGCTAAGGCTGTGGGGGCCCTTGGCTGAGCTTCAGCGATGGCGGGTCCCTCACACCAGCGGGCTCAGACTCAGACTCCCCATCAACCGAGACGCAGGCCACAGCACAGGCGGCTTCCCTTAGCGGGGCCGGGTCCTCTCCTGAGCTCGCCTTTCAAAGCGGAGCCCCTCGGTCAGGCTTTCTCGTTCTTCTGCAGGACTTTGCAGCCTGCGTGTACTCAACACTCCCGGGATCTGTTTTTCCCACGTATGATTTACTTCATCTTCCTAACAATCTGAAGTAGGTACGGTGATCATTTCCATCTTCAGCCAAGGCACCTGGTCACACAGCAGTTAAGCAGTACCAGGGTTTGAACCCACGCAGTCTGGCACCAAAGCCACAGCTGTCTAAAAAATGACCAGGACATGGGAACACTCTGTGGTTTCCCTCTTACTTCCCTTAAGACCAGTCTGGCCTCTAGGCCAAAGCACAGTAACAGTTGGGCAAAATGTTTTGCCACCAAATAACTAGGTTCACCAATTTTTCACCCACTAACTGAGCATAGTGAGCCCTCCTCAATCCTGTCCCATCTTGTCCATCTTTTAAGATCTGTCATTTGCAATTCCACATACCGACTTATCGGTCAGGTGTTCTTAGTTGCGAATCGGAGAACACACTCTGGCTTAAGAAAAGGAATTCACACAAAAACACAACCAGGCAGCAAACCAGAATCTCTAGACTGGCCCTAGCCACACTTGGGAGGTTCAAACAGAGCAGAGCACTGACCGACCACACCTCAAAACTGCTCCGAAGCTTGCCTGCCACACAACTGGCCCCACAACACACGCCACTACAACATGACGTCTCTGCCCCCGCTGACCCACAGGCTGGCCAGCACCGCGCCTGCCCTCGCCAGTGCGAGCATGGCCTCCGAGCTGGCACCGGTCATGGGAAGACCAGGGCTGGGCCCCTGCCTTAGCTGCAAGACAGGCCAGGAAAGCAAGCGTCTTCACCTTAGGGAGGGAGGTGGATGGGCCTGCACACCCCAGGTGGGCCAGGAGTGACAAGCGTCTATTACACTGAACCCTCCTAGTTACACTGTAGCTTCACGGATATAATTTATGTCAACATTTTTATGCTGAAGTTAATATTGGACATTAATTTAAATTTCTCAAGCCCTATCTTGCAGAATTAGATCAGAAATTCATTTCCAATAACGTACTAAACGATTAATGCAGTCATGGATAATTTAACGAGTAATAATCGGAGAGAAGTACTTACTAAGATGTGCCCATGCTAATAAAAATCAAAGTAGTGTAAGGCACCTGCATTTCTCGCATCGCTGATCATGAGAACATTGGAAAAAGCCACCTCGATGCAAATAAACCATTCTGTTATAAAGCAGAACAATAGTGCAGGTATTAGAGGCATTCTGGAAATTCTACTTTAAGAATATCAGAGATTATACAAATTTAGCTGTCATAATAAATACCGATAGTCTCAACTTAAAATTTTTTGACTTTATAATAGTGCAAAAGTGATACACATTCAGCTGAAATTGTACTTGGAATTTTGAACGTGAACGTGGGTCTTGTCCCAGGTTAGTGACGTGCGGTCGGACGCCCTCTGGGATGCTGGGCGGTGAGCCACCGCCCCCAGGCAGCCAGTGTTAACGAGGGCAGACAGATCCACCAACAACCACTGTGCCCATCAATTTCAGGTCAGTCCTCAGTACATGGCAGGAGACAGTCAACACCTTGTTATCAGATAGGCTTTGTGCGAGATCATTTTGCCCGCCTGGAGGCTGACGGGAGTGTCGTGGGCACGTTTAGTAGGCCTGGCTAGGCTATGTAAATTCGGTGTATCAAATGGATCTTCAACTTATGGCGCGTTTATTGGCATATAACCCATTACAAGCACATTTAGGTACCTATAGGCCCATAGTTAGTATCCGGTCCAGGTGTTCAGGTCCACAGGTAGACCCGTTCAAGTCTCAGGGCTGCTGTTGATTTTTATTTCTACAAAATATTCAATTATATAATTCCTTTATATTCTTTGACCCAACTTTATAGAATACGTATGCTTTTATCACAGAAACCAAGTCTCAATTCAGTTTTACTCAGTAAAATGATACCACAAAAGAGAATATGTTATTTTTTTATTCATGTTAAATAAAAACATGAGAAAATCCTTTTTTAAAAAGGGTTAGAATATTCCTTATGTCTCCAAACCATGGATGCAAAGAACTGTTGAGTGCTTTCTTCCCCCGAGAAGGGTCACAACACACTTCCACGTGGTAATCACCTGGAGACAGCACAGGTACACGCCCCCCCCAACTGCCGCTGCAGAAAGGTCACATGCAGTATTTGGGCAAGCAAGGAACAGAACACAGGCACAGTATATTCTGGAAACACTTCCTGCTCTGGCAATGAACCTCAGTACCAAGTATTATTAGCTGCTTTCTTTTTTGTGGTCCCGCTACATCTTTAACCCACTTAATACCACCACACTCCGATGCCACAACTTTTCACAATTCTAGAATTCCATCCATTGGCAGTACAGTTTAAGTGGCCTATGAGGCTGCATTTTATAAATATAAAAATTACGTGAGAACTAATACTATTGCGAATTTTGCCAGTAGAAACGTGGCCCCTAAGGAGCCACCGTTTCCAAAATATAACTGGACACACATTTACAATGCACCTGTGAATTCTGGAATCAACATGTCGAGTCTGACCTGCACGGAGACCAGACAAGAGTCTCTGAAGACCACTGCTGGATCCACGGTTTCTGCGCCCACCTACCCCCACACTCGCCGCAGATCCCACAGTATAACTTCACTGGAAACGGTTTGTCCAACGGTCACGGCAGCCTGGCAATGCTTCCACCTTGGCTCCCGTCACAGAGTTCTCCATGACTGGAGTCAGTAAGAACTTCTCTGTTAGAGAAAGCAAACGTTTCCACCTTTGGCAGACTGCCAAGATGACACTTTATTATAGAATTTATGAAGCTACAGTTTAGGAACTTGCAGGTTTTATTAAAATGAATCAAAAAAGAAAGAAAAGGGTAACAATACAACCCCATATCCCAAAACGTTCTAGATATTTTTAGTGCAAGAAATGCTGTCTCACTGAAGCGCTTGAGAATTATCATGAAATCCTAGCAAAAAAACGTAATCACCTTAGAAGTGGTAAAAAGAGAAACAACCAGAGAGGCACACAGATTGTGTTTTTTTTTTTTAAAGGATTTTTATACTATATTTAAAAAACCACAAAATAAAAAAGGGATCAATCAACATATATCTCAGAAGTCCTTCCAAGAGTCTCTGTACCCAGCAGCCACACAGGCTGGCTGTCGCCTGTTTCTTCTCCGCTCAGCCGGCAGCTCATGTAAGGGCCATCGAAGATAACTCGTGCTGTAGATCTTAAAATCAAACTTGTTCCGCCAAATCCAAGACCCTGAACTTATCCAAATTGTAGAAACATGCTTTTACCACCCGTCCACCAAAATACCTCCCATTCAGATCAACAACAGCTAAAAGACAAACAGAAAGACAGTCTGTTAATACAGGTATCCTGAGACACCACAAGAACATGTTTTCATTTGAAGGATTAAGATCACAAATTCGTTTTTGTTCTTTACAGTGGGCTATACAACTTACCTTTAATTGCTGATTCAACCCTCTCAAATTCTAAAAATATTCGTACTGCTTCATCATCAGGGGCACCAGGAATCTGGAAAAGAAATGAAAGTATGATAAGTAAAGTTATCAAGAGATACAGTTGTATATAAGTTTTCTTCCTTAACGGATCTTTGTCAGAGTAAGTGTTGCAATTACCATCTTAAATGGAGAAGTCAAGTACCAAGGAAATAAGTATGATTTGTTCATCACCAAAATCCGTCCAATGTCTCCTTATGAGAGGCACCTTGGCAAGTGCAGAAAACACACAGCTAACTAAGCCGGGCAGTCGTTGACCCTGAAGAGGTCCTATGCTGGCTGACGCCTACACAAATCATCAAGCAGTCAACAAACACAACGCGACCCAGAAAACCCAACGCAACCCAGCAGTGAGAGCAGAAACAGACAAACAGATCCCTACTCTAAGTGCCTCTCACGTCGGCTAAATTCCTGTCGGACTCTCCGAGTCCCGCATAACATGGCCCCGCTCCACCTGGGGGGTGCTGTTACACTTCCCCCCCCCCCCCCCCCCCCCCCCCCCCCCCCCAGTTAATTCCCAGCACCGCCAACCAGCCGGTCCACGCTGGAACCTTCTCAAGCTCAGCCCACACTGATGTCATTCATAAAGCTTGCTCTTATGTTTTGTGATCGAATCCCTTTCTTGACTCCTGTGTTCACAGTGACTACTCCAGAGTCCAGCAACTGAATGTTCTCGATTTTTACACGGGCTTGTTTTGTTGTTTCTTCAACTGAACATATCACTGAGTGGGGAACATGTTTCCTGTCTCCCAAATGCATGTGGGAGGCACTAAATACACACTTGCCAAATGAATGAAACCAAAGGCATGTCCAACTAACTGAACTATGGAGCACACAGCAATCTATAATCACCAAACTAAACCTCAATCATAAAATGAAACATTTTATTTCTTCACCAAATAAAATTTGAAGCCCTTCTTATCTTTATGGTTAAAATGGTTATAACCAAGTAAAAGAAGTGCACCTAACCAACATCTGTCACCTTCGGGAGTAACAACACGGCATGTTTCTCACTGCACATCTGGTCTCTATTTAGAGGCAGAAGATATTTGATGATCTATCAGTTATAACTTGGGTGATAAACATCAAAAAACCCTCTTACTTCAAATATCACACATTTCCCAACTTTGCCGTATTTTTCACACTCTTCCTTGGTTTCAGCTTCCAAGTCTTCATCTACCTCTCCCGCACCAACCATGTTCTATAAACAAAAACAAATAAATTCAGGCATCAAGTATAATTTACGAATATATAAATGAGACGAACAAGTAAGTTTCTTTCATGATGGCAAATGTTCTCAACCCCAAATGACACAATGAAAATGTTCATCCTTGTAGTACCCAAAGTTGGTACTTCTTACAAAAATAAAAACATGTATTTATGGTTTTCTTAAACACATTCAATGAAAGCAAATTACGAGCTCATGGCACTTAACAGAGTACAGATGTACACTCTTACTCTGTTTACTCATTTAACTGAAAAATAGTTCTTGGAGCTTATGTCCTACTTTGACCGTTAAGTTGAAAAAGAGTGCCCTACTTGGACAGATGCCCAAGTTAAACATGGCTTACCCACCAATGAGGCAAAAAGAAGTTTTTCAGGTGTGAATAATGAGCATAAGTACACGAATACATTCATGTTGTAAGAATAACAGGAGAAATAAATACAGCTTTTGAGAAATACGAAATGGAAACACATACTCCCACACACATTAAGCTTCAGTCACAAGAGCACCTATACAAGCAGAATGCATACATTAAGCTGAACTTCTAACAATTTCAAATATTTTAGAGCAATTGCTCACTGCAGTCTTAAACACTGTATCTAGCAATAAATAAATAAATAATCATGAAAAAGGAATTTAAAACCTCAGCTTTAGATGGAGTCTATCCAGAAGGATCATTTGCAAAAAAATTATTTTCAGTTTTCTTAAACTGTCACTCTATCCGTAGGGTTGAAGGTGTGCAAAGATAGATCAGGGTGGATGACACACAAAAATCAAGGCAGGAAAACAGGTTTCTTCAATGCTGCTTCTTACCCGTAGGAGGACCACTTTGGTAGGACACTTAAGTATTTCAGTTAATGGATTGGAATCCGACTTCTTGGATGCGTCTGTAGCAAGACATTTAAGATGTAAGTGTGTTAAAGCACTGAGTCCGAGTTACGATGACTAATTTCAAGAGTACTTCTCGCTATTTACGTCCTCGGAGTCATCTAGGAGCATTTATGCCATCAGTGTCTGAGCAGAAACGCAGCCTTATCTGTGATGAGAATCTCTGTTTCGCTTTGGTCTAAGCTTTTACTGCGATTCCTACAAGTTTTTGGCTTCCTTAATTACCTGCAACTTTTGTTAGCTCACCTCGTCAGTTCGGGCAGCTGCACAGAGCACCCGGACCACAGCCCTCACAGGGGAGAGGACTGGCAAGGGCAGTGTGGCCAAAGGTCGGCGGCCGATGGAACAAGCAGTGTGTCAGCCGGCCGACGAACGCCACACACCCCAGCGATCAGCGCGGCTGCGGGGATGGGCACGGGCCGCTTAGGCTGACTGGCTGCCAGAAACGGCATCTTCTTTCTTTAGGAAAGGGAGCTACACTAAGACACTCAAAACAAACTCGGTTCTGCTTACAGTGCAAACATGTTTGGCTCATTCCAATGTGCCCTCAGCACAGAACAGACTGTAATAGTCGAATGAAAGTAAGACACCGACTAGACATCATCTACCAACAGACTGAAATGACATTAGATCTCACAGAGCAATCAATCTGTAAGAAAATTAGAAATCGCACTTACAATGAAAGAGCAGGAAAAAGAAAAAAACAGAGAACTCTTTCAGGATGGAAATCACCGATATAATCATTGACATACCGTATACGACTCAGTCTTTCATGCTCTAAAAACCTAACTATGATTTTAACCGATTTAACAAGGTCTTCGCCTGATAGAAATAGGCATGAAACCATTTCTTTGAGTGTTTATTTTCTGCCAGAATCTCTCTCACCTTTTCTCCCACGGACCTTCCTACCGCTAGTTTTGTTCTGAACAAATAAAGATGAGCCCCCAGGGTCTCCGTCCACACAATGCCAAACTGGGATGCAGCGCAATCAGAAAGTCTCCTTTCCGGCGAGGACCAGCCCTGTCACACAGGACCACACGCCCGCCGCTCCCACCCTGGAGGCCCCCCTCGTGGAGGAGACCCACCTTTCTCTGTGGCGTCGCCCACAATGATCTTGCCTCCTCGCTTGCTGGTCTTCTCCACCGACAGTGCGGTGCTCAGCCCTTGCTCGTGCTTGCCGAGACCCTGGCCTTCCCGGAAGCCGTACTTCTGCATGATTTTATGTGCTACCGTGCCACTGGGAGGAAGGAAAAGAGAAGGATCTCTTGGACTGAGTCACCTGCTATAGCACAAACCGATTTTATATCACAGCCATCGCCTCCTAAAAAGAGAAAAGTGTGGGGGCGCCTGGGTGGCGCAGTCGGTTGAGCGTCCGACTTCAGCCAGGTCACGATCTCGCGGTCCGTGGGTTCGAGCCCCGCGTCGGGCTCTGGGCTGATGGCTCGGAGCCCGGAGCCTGTTTCTGATTCTGTGTCTCCCTCTCTCTCTGCCCCTCCCCCGTTCATGCTCTGTCTCTCTCTGTCCCAAAAATAAATAAAAACGTTGAAAAGAGAAAAGTGTACATTCCACATGGCTTCGACGTGGCCACCTGTAACTACCGACAGGCCATTCAGTGGAAGCTGTGAGATGTTCAGACTGAAAGACACGGAAAAACTAGTGCTGAAATCCTGGACATCCTGAGATTATCCATGAGGTAAGGGAAACACCCGTTTCCTGCGATATTCTCCCAGCATCCCTATTAGAAAACACTAGATGTCTCATGTGCTTCAGACTCTGCATTGCTACACAGTTTATGGCCATGGTTTAGTTAAAAGTGTGCCTGTCAAAAAACAAGGATAAATTTCCCACGACGACGACCACATTTTTCTAAATAGTACAACGGAGCTTCCAATGACAGCCCACAAACGAAAGACCTCTTAGAGATCATCCACTCAGCAGATGAGAACATAAAGACTCCGAGGCTCATACTGGCCGACCAGCTTAAGGCTGATGAGGAGCAAAGCAAGACACTGAGTCCGGAAATTCTTTCGTCGGTGTTAATGGCGAAGTCAAACTGGAACCTACAGTTCTCGAGTCCCGGGCAGAGCTCGCGCTCTCTAGCACTCTGCTTTCACGCTGCACTTGGAGGTACCTCGGGGGGTCTCGAGGAGGTCCCCCCAGCGACCTCTGCTCTTTGGGGCTTGCATCACGACACCGTGTGCCAAGTAAGGGCGCACCTACATCGCCCCCCACAAATCCCATCTGAGCGAGCTGCTCGGAGCCGGAGGGAGGAAGGCTGCCGAGCCGTGCCACGCTGTCCCTCCCCCGGGCACATGGTGAACACCTCATCCGCGCTCAAGGGGGAATTCAGCGAAAAGTCCACTTCTCTCACTAGCAGAATAAATCCCAGTTTCACGCGTGTCCCCCTCCAGCACACGCTCTGGGGCAGCCCGACAGAGCCTCCCACACGAGTGGAGACATGAACCATCGATCGACACTGCCCTGTGCTCACTGAGCTCCGGAGAGGAGACCCCCGTGACCAAAGAGCTGCACTGTAAACTGTATCTGTCTCCAATTTCATAGCCATCGATTAGACCACAGAACACGGCACCAGTCAAGGAGATGGATCCCTCAGTCAGAAACTGAAAAGTCTCACGTGGGGCATGAACCGCGGCCACTCCGCCACCTGCCAGTCACCTCTCCACAGGCTCAGAATGAAAGTGCACGCGCGCAGGTGAGGTCATACGGGGGGATGACCACCGTCACAGCTGCCGTCCCTTCCAAAACACACGACAAGGCCTTAGTGGAGGGCTGCCTCACGTGACCGTTCCTCACAGGAGACACCGGGCGAACAACATGCCTGCCAAGCCCAGGGTGGGTTAAAAAACAAATCCAGGGCACCTGGGCGGCTTAGTCGGTTAAGCCTCCGACTTCGACTCAGGTCATGATCTCACAGTTCATGGGTTTGACTCCTGCGTCGGGCTCTGTGCTGACAGCTGGGACCCTAGAGCCTGCTACAGATTCTGTGTCTCCCTCTCTCTCTGCCCCTCCCCCGCTCAGTCTCTCTCTCAGAAATAAACATTAAAAAAAAAAAAAATCCATGCCCTCCTGAAAGTCAACCTTAAAACTGAATTTTATATGCCAATAGACAAATTTCTAATTATAGTTAGAATAAATGCTTTAAGCCAAAAGTATAGAACCACAACCTTCAAGCAAATGGTCGTTTCATCAAGAAAAAATTGCAATTCACCCTGTGGACACAGCAGAAGTCAACTCTAACGCACAGGAGCTATTTCGTTTGCAAATGTTCTCAAAACCAATGCAAATAACTATCAGAAGTGTCCCCACCTAGAGAATATGGCGTCCAGTATGGCAATCATCCAAAACCCACATGAAAGGGATTCGTGTGTGGTGTGAGACCCAACGGTGTCGTGCTGGGACGCCCTCCGCAGGACTCCAGCACGGACTCTGAAGAAGGACGCTATGTGACGTCTTCCCCAAACACCCGAGAGCCCTCGTCTTCCACCAAGAGCTGCACCTACTGAAAGCGTGGACGCACTTCACCCTGAGTCTTGTCCTTCCCACACCTGCTGCGACAAGAGCGCTTGGAACCGTTACCCCATGTTGGCAAGGAAGGAATTGCCAGGTCCGGTCGGAGATCTGGGTCTGTCTTGTTCCTCGTATACCGGGGGAGGGATAGCAGCTTTGGAAGACTGGGAGCGAGGTCTTGAGTCCTCTTCGTAAGGGAAATCTCGGGGTACTATTGAATAAAAATAAAGCAGGTTTAGCAAAATGACACCAAAAAATTCTGAAGTGCACTTACATAGATCAGTTACCTATAAGAAGTAAGAAACGCCAGATCACTCTCTAGTCGCTACAGGACTCTTCAAAATCAGAGGCAGAAAACTATTTTCCCAATTCCAGCTTTGCTCCTTTTGTTTCTACCTCCTCAAATGTCTTTTTTACATCCTGCTGAAACATTATTCAGCCTTTAACGTGCTCTTAAATGACAACTTGTGTCTGAAACTTTAAGATTTTCTGTGTGTTCCAGGTAGACCCACTTGGGCTTTCTCTAATTCCCATAGCGTTTTGTGTACCTGTCTTAAGACTCCAATCAGTATTACCACCTCGTTAACCTAGCAAATAATAAACGTCTTTGAGACTTGAGCCTATACATCAGACCAGTGATTTTTTGATCCTAGTTACACGTAAGAACCAACAAGGAAGCTTTGAAACGATCTAGATGCTTGGGCCCCACTCCCGGAGACTAGTTTCAAGTAGGGCTTATGATCTGCCAGGTATTTTCACATAAAAGATGTTCAACAATATTTTCTGAATTCTCTTCTTTAAAAAAATAACATAGTGTATTAAAAAGCACTAGGATGACTATATTTTCTTGGGATGGTTTAGGTCCGGTCCAACCCAGTGGGCAGGAACGTGATCTAGATGCCGTATCAAAGTCCAATTCCAACCCAAATATTCTAGAACCGAGCACCAGGAGCAAAAATAGTGAGTGGGCATGTTTTGGCAATCTAAGTAAATATGCACAACATGTGTAAGGAAACAGAAAATAATTGCAGAAAAATCTAATTAAGGAAGGCACTGCCATCTTGTGGAAGGTCACGAATTTGCCGGCCTCTAGACCACAGAGTATGGAAACTATAGACTGAGCTACATGTATTTTAACCTAACCCCAACTATGAAACGTGAAGAGAAAACATAACAAATTACTTAAAAGGAGAGCAAAGCATCTCGCTGCACAGAACGCAAGCCTTGGCCCGGGATGAAAGCCCGAGGCAGGAGCAGAAGGGCGGGCGGAGGAGCCAGAGGACGGGTTTTCAGGCCACTCCCCCTGACACTCCGAATACCGGGCCGACTCAAGCTAAGACTCCCCCTGATGGGGCCCGAGGCCGGGATCGGAATAAGAGAGGGCAAGAAACGGATACGTACACTCTTTGTCCTTCTCTACAAGAGAAGTGGGTGGTGCAATGGCCGCTCCGCCCATACCTGCAAGACACGAACCCACTGGTTAAACGAGGGGAGCACCGCAGACGCCCGGCTCGCGACATGCCACGCGCTGTCCTGCGCTCCTTCTACAGGGGAGGGAAGAAGGACATCTAGGACCAAAAAATCACCTGGGCGAAACCCAGACAGACAAAATCATCTTTTTCACAGCAGGCAATCGAGAACCCTAAAATGCAGTTAACAAATGAATTTTAAGGTGAAGGACACGGCCCAGAGAACTAGCAGTTACTTACAAAACAGAAACACAGCTCTACCGAGAGTCTGGTGCCACGAGGCATTTTCACACGTTACCTCATTTAGGTTCAACCAACCGCGGAAGGAGGAATCACTGCTTCCACTTGGCAGATGAGAAAAGGGTCAGAGGAGTTAATGGGCAGAGACAGAACACCCAGCTCCCGCGGCGCCGACACTCCCCCACAACGCGGCCCCGTGCCCTCCAGGGTGCCAACCACTGGGCCAGACACCTACTTGGAAATGTGGGCACTTGGCCATTCCCGCTCCTGTGTCCCGGACAATGACGGACACGACGAACCAAAAACAGACTCCGTATGCTCTCCAGCAACCAGTGAGAGAACACGAATGGAAGACGTAAGGAATTTTCATTTGCTATAAGCCCTAATAGATGTGTTACAATTTAATTGCCAATGAAATGATCAAAACAGTAAAACGAGAATTAAAAACTGATTACAAAACACGTTGCACCAGCATGTAATGTTTCACAAAAGAAATTCCTCTATGGCTACTGTCCATGCATCACAATTAACATGTCTGGGCTACACAAAATACTCCTGGAGAAACACAAACCTGAATAAAACTTTGTCGTTTCTTCTGAAACACCCATTATCTTTTTTTTTTTTTTTTTTTTTTAATCTCATCACCAAGACTTAAGTGGTTACTGAGTGATTCTGAAAAACCCAGCTGTGAGTTCAGTATGAAAAATTCAGGGTGATTACTGGAAATCTGTTACTAATCTGGTTAAAACATGAACGTCAATCTGTTAACAGCAATGTGAAGAGTGGATATGACGCCAGCATTTTCCTAATATTAGATTGTATAGCTCTTGTTAATGTTCAAAAAATAGTGTCCTTAACACAGAAGTACAGCTCCTTATCTGACGGGCAGCCAACGTGTAAGCTGGAAAAGATGAGACCGATAAATATTGAACCTATACGCTGATTCTAAACAAGTTTAACGAAAACCAAATATTCGTTACTGAGTCAGGTCATGGATACGGAACGTTTACCACAATGCCTGACGTATAGGGCATACACAGATGTTAACTCTACCCCCACTAGAAAAACAACGCAGTGCCTGACAGTGTTGGGCACGCAGTTACTTGTTTTAAACTGAGGTGTAACTGACACGGGACATCACGGGACAGCCTTGGCACCTGTGCGCTCTGTGAAGTGACCGCCACGGTGAGTCTACTTCACATCCATCACACGGTTACACGTGCTTTCTCGTAAGGAGGACTTCAGATCTACTCTCTCAGCAACTCTAAAATATGCAATATAACTTTACTAACTGCAGCTATGTGGCACATGGCAGCCCCAGGACTTCTTTATAACTGGAAGTCCGTATCTTTTGACCCTTTCATCCATTTCGCTCCCCCCCCAACCACCCATCTGCTCTCTATGAACTTGGATTTTCGTTGTTGCCTAGTAAGCATCCTATAAATACATTTAATTCATATCTGCATTGAAAGATTAAGAATTCTAAATTATTACAGACTTGTTCCTTTCCAACTCCATTAGTGTTTTAAAGTTTGAATTAAACCCTAAAGTAACCTTAGCTGTACACTGGGGAAGACCACGCTTGCCAAACTTCTGGTTATAAAACTGAGTTCATGCACAGGGAAAAATACTGTGGCTTTGTGATAACAGTATTCTCAGGTCTCATGTTAAAGATGACCATATCACAATGGAGGTTTCGGGCAAATGAAGATCTTGGATACGGTGAACAGTGGACCTGTTATATAAGGACTCATTCCCTCTGTGCCTCAGATTCCTCACCTTTAAAATGGGGATAATCGAGCTGCGTGATGTAAAGCAGATAACCTATGAAAGTGCTTACAAGAGTACCTAGTGTCTGGCAGACAAGTAGATTTAAATTTCTCGCTTAAAAAAAAAAAAATCTCAACTTGTCAACCAAACTAATCAACCAAACCAAGGAAATGCCAGCAATCACAACATGACGAAGCACCCTATTCTCTCAAGAATGAACACTACTCATCGAGCGATCACTCAGAATGCAGCGGTAACACAAGCGCAAATCTGCTTGTGAAACCTCAGCCATGGAAGGGGCCTCCCGAAGTACCTGGTTCGAATTCTTGTCTCCCTGCTCTCCATACGACACTGAAAGAAACCCATGTCCAGGGAAGCTACGGGACTTCCTCAAATTCATGCATGTTAGTTGCAAACGTTCTGGAAACCAGAGCCTGGACTCTGTCTGGTGCTTCGCAGACGTGCTGCAGGTGAGGACGCCGTGTGTATACTGGAGGTGTGGCCCAAGCACCCCATCAACAAATGTCGGGAGGCAACCGAGAAGCTCACAGGAGAACATATGTGAAAACAGGATGCAGGTTAAAACTGTTATGCAAACACGGTTGCTCGGATTCCAGAGAGAACTTACCCAAATCAACGTCAATTCAACTATCAAACTGAACACGAAAAGCAAACAGAATTTCACCAAGTTTGAAACGGAACATTTCATGACTCACTTCTTTTCCTCCTCTCTCGCTCATAATCTTCGTCTTCATCAGAATCTGGATCTGGTCGCCTTGAAAACCCACTAGCTTCATGTCTGTCCTTACGCCTCCTGTGACAACAAAGGAACCAAATATTCATCACAGATAAACCAATGTATTTTTCAGTTTTTAAAAATACACTTGTCTATTTTGAGAGGGCGCATGTGCATGCACAAGCGGGGTAGGGGCAGGAAGAGAGGGAGAGAGAATCCCAAGCAGCTTCCACGCTGTCAGCACAAAGCCCAGTGTGGGGCCCCATCTCATGAACTGTGAGAACACGACCTGAGCTGAAGTCAAGAAAGGATCTGATCCACCCAGGCGCCCCCAGACAAACCAGTTTAGAGATAGGGAGCCCAAGGATGTCACCTTGACTTGCTGTTGTCTAGAAAATATTCAAATCCTCTCTTCCCCACTGAACTATTAGTTTGGGGGAGGGGAGCACATGTACAAATAACTGCTTCAAGACTAAAGTAGCAAAAGTGAAGTGAGAAAAATCAAAAGATAAATTGAACAAATTTAACAGGCACACGAATACAATAAGCAGGAAGGAAAAAGTTTCCTTGATGTTTACCTCTTTCACTTTTAAAGCATTATCAACATAGATAATACTTTAAGAATTTGGATTCTCTAGAACATATTTTCACTTCATGAAATGATTCGATAAATACTGAGAAAAAGTATATTAATCATATATGACTATTGAACAATCAACATTGAGTATTTTCAAAACAAGAAATACAAATAGGGGTGCCTGGGTGGCTCAGTCGGTGAAGCATCCAACTTCAGCTCAGGTCACGATCTCACAGTTCATGAGTTCGAGCCCCATGTTGTCGTCTGTGCTGACAGCTCAGAGCCTGGAGCCTGCTTTGGATTCTGTGTCTCCCTCTCTCTGCCTCTCCCCTACTTGCGTGCACACATGTGCGTGCGCTCTCTCTCTCTCTCTCTCTCTCTCTCTCTCAAATATAAACATTTAAAAAAAAAAAAAGAAACACAAATAAATCTTTTACCCATACCTTTACAAAATATAAATAAAAGATGTCATAATTCCATCTGGCTCAAAATTAGTTAAAGTTAAGAGTAACATTTTAAGTATTTTATTTTTTAAAGCAAGCTCTACTACCAAAGGTGGGGCTTGAACTCATGACCCCGAGATCAAGAGTCGCAAAATCTACTTACCAAGCCCAGTCACATGCCCCAAACATTTCAAGTATTTTAAATGGTTAAGATCCTAGTACCATCTTAGCACAGGAAAAAAACTCTTATTATTCAACATCAGGCTTTTAAGTTACTTTTCTAACAACTCACACAAAACATAGACTTCAAGTTTTCTGCATCTAGACAGGAAATTTTCTCTAGCGTTTGTTCACAACAACTACAGGCATACCTCGCAGATACTGTGGGTTTGGTTCCAGACCACCGCAATAAAGCAAATATTGCAACAAAGGGAACCAAAAGATGTCTTTGGTTTCCCAGTGCATAGAAAAAGTTACGTTCACACTACATTGTGGCTATTAAGCATACAACAGCATTATGCCTAAAAAGAAAATGTACGTATCTTAATTAAAAATACCTTATTGCTAAAAAATGCTAACCATCCTCTGAGCTTCCAGTGAGTCATAGTCACTGATCACAGATATAATAATGAAGAAGCCTGAAAGCCTGGGAGAATTACCAAGAACACAGAGACATGAGAGCAGATGCTGCGAGAAAAATGGTGTGATGGACTCGCTCGACACAGAGCTGCCACAAAAACCTCTAATCTGTAAAAAAAAAAAAAAAAAAAAACACTGCATCTGCCACCGTATGCCTGGACAAATTCTGACAAACAAATGGATTCCTTCTGATGACTGCTCAGACCAACCATGAAAACTAGCACTAGGGTTCATTCATTCGAATCCCAATGAATATTTCAAATGTAAAATATCCTCGAATCCAAACAAAGCCTTACTTTTCTCTCTCTTCTATTTCTTTTTGTCTTTCCAGCTCCCGCTGTCTCTGCCGTTCTTCTCTTTGGCGCTTTACCACTTTCTCGTAATCATTAGGAAACATAGGATCATATTCATCAGCTAAAGGAATCAAAACTTCTCCTGCAGAAAATCCACTGGGAACAGGATCCTGAGGAAGGTAAAAATGCCAAACTATGCATCATCCTCTTGTTTTAGAATTTCACACGTAGAATTAAGGTCAAAAACCATGAGCATCAGAGGGGCTTTGCCGACCACCCATCTGCCTCGTTTGTTTTAGTGACGAGGAAACAGGTGCCCAAGGAGTTGGTGCAGCCGCAGGCCTAGCTGTGTAGCAGCAGAGAAGAGGCTCACCTCTCAGTTTACTACCAACTCCAGAACGGCCTATGGTGTTTTCCTGGGATTCCTAGACAAGCTGCGCCACCTACAATTTCAAGCAATAGATTTGACTATTTATAATACACAATGAATACTCCTGTTTTAAAGCGTCTCTACGAAAACCTGAAAAAAACGATCCGTGGATAACAATCATTCTTGTGGTCAATTAATAAACTTTAGATTCTGTACCATGGAAACATGCTACACTGAGACTTCACAAAAAAGGCAGAAAGCATCCTCTTGGACTTTCTGAAACCCCCTGGAATACGCAACCCTTCCCAGGTAGGCAGCGCGCCAGGAACCGGGTCTGGCACAGGTGGATGGCACGACCCACCACATACCACATCATTAGTTCTTTTAAGGTCCGCTAAGACCAGGGTCCGATGGTTAACACTTTGCATTTCTCTTCTGTACATTTAGAAACTGGGGCTACCCTTTGAGAGAAAAGAGGCAGCCTTAAAGAAATCCGAGAAACAAAAGGCAGCCAGCACAAAGCTGACCTGGAGACACGTGAGGACAAACAGGGCTTCACCAGAGGCTGGTGGTCCTGATGTTCTGAGCGCTCTAGCCTCCCTAAGCACCGCACTGTCCTGTTAGCTGTCTGAGCTTAACTCTTCCTTAGTATCTGTAACAATCAGATGCCTTCACTGGTCTCCAGAGACCCCGAGCAAGCACAGGTGTCTCTGAGGCCCACTCAGCACCTCGTTCAGGAAGTACACTGCCCCACACTAGCAAAGGCAGGACGCTTGTTTGTGAAACATATTTTGTATCCGAACACAAAACTGATGTGATACAGAGACTGTGTGTTCACTATCAATGGATCTGAATCTGACAATTCCTGTATTACACCATTCAGTCTGATGTTCTGCATCATAAAACAAACATTTCAGTGCTTCCCTACAACTAAGAATCAGGAAACATTATGATCCAATGGATATAACAAGTCAGAAAAACAGGTATAATCAGCTCCCAGGCCTGATCACTGGAAAGTTTACACAAATCTATTTAAGGCAAGGTTCACAAAGGGTAGTTATGACTTGTATCCATATAAAAGACAGTTTAAAAACACAAAGGCATGTGCACAAGACTTCGTCTCAGTTATTATTGAGACCTGAGAGAAACCAACAATCAGCTACTTAACTTATAGAACATTATAACCACAAAGTTTTGGACAGAACAAATTGTCAACAACAAGGTTAATTCTTCGTCATTTCAAAATCTGAAAGCAAACTTTTCCTGTATAAATCCTGCTAAGTTGAACAAGGAGCCATCATTCTCTAAACGCTGTAAGAATAAAGCAGTCTGTTCCATTTTTAAAAATTAAAATGTTAATACCTTAATGCTGGGGAGGGTGGGAAAAACTAAAACACTCACATACTGTAGGTGACGCTGCAGACTCAATACACAGTAGCAGAAGATAATGAACGACTTTATTAGATGTAGCGAGGAAAAATTAGGTGGATAATTTGTGAGCAAAAAATGTTAAATGACTAAGAATCTCCAGAAACACCTCCATGGGGGATACTTTTCCTTCTTGACAGACTATCAGCCCGCAGGACCAACATCAGTTCTTCTGGCCAAGAAATCTCAGAACAAAAGCAAATTAGGGGAGATTCCAACCCAAGACAGTTTTGACTGAAACTAAAGAAGAGAGGGGATGGGCAGTTGGGACTGTGTCAGCTTGATTTGGGTTCTAACAGGTGTGGGTGTGAGAGGTGGGCAGGAGCCTTGCTACGAAATAGCCATAATCACGTATTCTGTTTATTAACCTCTTTCGGTCATTCTTCCTCAAACAATTTGTGTGCATGGTGCTGTTTAAACTACTGCAGTCATACTACTGGACTGCCATCTGTAGGATAAATGTTAAAGAGCAGTTGGAATTTCTTTTTAAGTTTATTTATTGAGAGAGAGCGAGCGAGAGACAGCGAGCAAGAGAGAGAGAGCAAGCAAACAGGGGAGGAGCAGAAAGAGAGGGAGACAGAGTCCTGAGCAGGCTCCACGCTTAGCATGGAGCCCAACATGGGGCTCAATCCTGTGACCATGAGATCATGACCTGAGCTGAAATCAAGAGACAGACACTCAACTGACTGAGCCACCCAGGCTCCCCAAGAGTGGGTGGAATTTCGACTACAGTTTACACTGAATTCATTGACCTTTCGTTTTGTACAATTTGAACTATGACTCCGAATGACCCTTTTTCAGATCTTCCTCATCCTTACTAACCCATTTACAGAGGTGACCATATCTGGTTTTTTTTTGTTTCTAAGATTATATGAAATCACTGTGGTAATAAAAGGGTGGTAGATTTAGTCCTTTTCTCTATTTTAATCCACAGTAAGACAATAAGCACTAACATTCCTCATGACAGCAGAAGTTAGAAACAACGCACGCATCCAGCATTACATAAGCTAAATAAACTACAGGACGCCCATCTGAGGAAATACGGGGAAGCCACAGAAATGATCATGTACTCCTATGCTTTCTAACACAGATGGACAGTCACAATACATAACAGGAGAAAAGCACGCTAGGAGGCAGAGAATGGAAAGCTATTCTAAAACGTAAAGCTTTTAACTTCTGGAGGCTAGGGCTTCGTTTTTTTCCTGCCTATCTCCGGTTTCTGGTTCTTCTATAACGTACTATCTTTATTTCAGATCATGTTCACAGTTCAGTTGAAAACGACGCGGGCGAGCCTGTAAGGACCCCCAGAGGAGCCTGGGCTCTGAGGATGCGGACAGCAGGGGACAGGGGGGCGGCTCACCTTCAGGCCAGCCGCCACGTGCGGGGGGGTGTCCACGATCTGCCGGTCGTCTGAAGAGCCACCACGCTTCAGGTCGATCACCGGGGCGAGGACAGTACTCTGTTTTGTTCTCTGGCTCTAAAATCATCGAAAAACAAAAGAAGTGCACGGAAGCTTCAAATTAAAATTCATACTATTTATAACAAAGCTTTTCGGTCTCTGGAACGAACCTTTCAGATAGGAGAAAAACAATCTTAAAACAACAGCCTTTTAATTCAATTATCACTATTACCATATACTTTCTGCAGTCTTTTTTTTTAAAAAACACAAATTCCATTTTCATAAAAGGTTTACGGTAAACTTGGTCTCTTATCTAAATCTGCACGTGAATTAATAGATGCAAAAAGCTCCACTGACCACAGGAGAGCAAATGTGTAACAGCACATCACACTCATGCCTTGTGTGACTCTCTCACAAGGAAAAGGTACGCTTTTATAGCCTGAGCAAAAGGAACTGTGGATTAGGGGGTTTTCCCTCCCAGTAGAACCTAAATCCTGCCTCTTTTATTATAAACCCATAGAAAAAAATTAAAATTTTTTTTAATGTTTATTTATTTTTAGTAGACAGAACACAAGCAGGAGAGGAGAAGAGAGAGAGGGAGACACAGAATCCGAGGCAGGCACCAGGCTCTGAGCTGTCAGCACTGAGCCCAATGCGGAGCTCGATCCCACAGGCCATGAGATCATGAGCTGAGCCGTAAGTCGGACGCTCAACCGAGTCTTGCTCAACCGAGTCACGCAGGCGCCCGGATAGAAAAAAAATTTTTAAAAGAGAACAATACTCACTCATGTATCATCAACCACTGTTACTATGTTACCATATTTTCTTTACCGTACACCTGTCTTTTGTGCTCAACCATCTGAAAGGAAGTTGGAGCTCCGCGACATTTCCCCTTAATCTCCTAAAATTATGGACATTCTCTTACATAAGCACAGTACTAACACCACACCAAAAAAAATCAACAATCCCCCGTATCATTGCCTATCCAATTCATATCCAGATTTTCCAAGCTGTCCCCTAAAATAACTTTTAAATAGGTGATTTTAGGAGCGCGTGGGTGGCTTAGTCAATTGAGCATCCAACTCATTTTTTTTAACGTTTATTTATTTTTGAGAGAGAGAGGGAGCGGGAGAGGGGTACAGAGGATCTGAAGCAGGCTCCGTGCCGACAGGAGAGAGCCTGAAGTGGGGCTCAAACTAACAAACAGGGAGATCATGACCTGAGCCAAAGTCGGACACTTAACCAACTGAACCACCCAGGCGCCCCAAGCATCCGAGTCTTGATTTCAATTCAGGTCATGATCCCAAGGTTGTGGTATCAAGCCCCGAGTAGGGCTCTCAGCTGAGCATGGAGCCTGCTTGAGATTCTCTCTCCCCCACTCACATGCTCTCTCGCCTTCCTCCTCTGTCCCTCTCCCCTGCTCACTCGCTTGCTCTCTAATAAATAAAGAGCTGATTTTATCCTGAATCAGGATCAGACCTGGTTCAGAATAAATTTTTAATCTCTCAATTTAGAACAGACTCCATTCCCTGCTGTCGTCATCATCACAAGCAGCAGTGTCTTCGTCTCCTCCTCTTTTTCCCGACACTCTGGTAAAATGCTGCACATTCTGGATGCGTCTGAGAACTTCCTGGTGCTCTACACTTCTCTCTGCCCTGTAGCTCCTGACAGCGGAACACTTCACAGGTGAGGGGATGTGCCTCCCTGGCACCCGCCCTGCAGGCTGTCAGTGGTGATAACATCACACGGCCATGGCGGTGACCATCTGGTCCTGTGGTCACAAAGGTTTAATGCCCCCTTCGCAACTGAAAAGTGTTCTATGTTTTCAGTGTTATTACCACAAAAGGCTCAAAAGAAACCACCATCTCTCTTGAATTTAACAGTGCTTATCATCTTAAGCAAACAAATCTGATCGAATCATTAAATACACAATGCACTACATGAATACCAAAGTTCAAAGGGCAATGGGGGAGATGATCAGAATCCTCTCTTTCCATTATTGTTTCCATTCAATGTGTGTTTTTCAAGTGGATTTATTTCATCTGTGGAGACACAGATGAAACCCCAGCCCCATCTTTCAGTTGTAGGTAACACCCTTAAAGATTTGGTTAGGCCAACCTAGTGCTGAGGAATTAATTAGTGAATTAAACCTAAGAGAAGTGAGTGAAGTGGTATCTTCACTTTCCTTCAAGAGCAACATACTACTAACTGTACACAGCAATCTCAAAAGATACTAGAAAGTTAGCAGAAACGATTCCACAGGCTACCGTTTATTTTGACCTCTCTTTTGAAAATCTTTCTGAAATCTCAGATTTCCCAGTACCTGAAATTACTGTATTGGAGAAGTAAAAACCTGATAAGCAGAAATTAAACAGACTGAGGCAGACAAGAGGATTTCCAAGAGTCTAGACTTCATCTCACTCTTTACTTTTAATGTTAGTAAAGTAAGGGTACAGAAAAATCAGTATGTGATGAATAAATTTCCTAATATATTTATTTTTTAATTTTTTAAATGTTTTTTATTTATTTTTGAGAGAGAGACAGAATGTGAGTGGGGGAAGGGCAGAGAGAGGGAGACACAGACTCTGAAGCAGGCTCCAGGCTCCGAGCTGTCAGCACAGAGCCCGATGTGGGGCTTGAACTCACAAACCATGAGATCACGACCTGAGCTGAAATCGGACACCCAACCGACTGAGCCACCCAAGCACCCCCCCACCCCCCTTTTTAATGTTTTTTTTTTTAAATTTATTTTTGAGACAGAGAGAGACAGAGCATGAGCAGGGGAGGGGCCGAGAGACAGGGAGACACAGAATCCAGGCTTTGAGCTGACGGCACAGAGCCCGACGCGGGGCTCAAACCCACAAGCTGTGAGATCATGACCTGAGCTGAAGTCGGTCGCTCAACTGACTGAGCCACCCGGGCGCCCCTATATATTTATTTTTGTAAAGGATCTATTTTCTCAATAGTATTTTATATAAGCCAATTTTTAACCTGTAGTGTATAAATATGCACTGACTGGAAACAGAAAGTGACCCTGAAGTTACCCAGGGCAGGAAGAAACAAATTAGCTAGGATTTTTAAAATTTGGCTCAAAGTAATCCACAAAGCTGACACTATTACACTGGTAATTAAAGAATTAGCCCAGTTTTTAATCTGTATATTTTGACTTCTGCTCTTCTATTTTGTTACCTCTCACTGCCTAAGATTGTCCGCTAATTATGTCCATTTGAAGTCTAATTGAATTTATGTTTTGAAGTATGAGACCGCTCCTTAGAGCCAGAGCCATTGTACAAAAGGGACTATGAGGCCCTCAAGAATAATGCATGAAACAGTTGTAGCGCTGGAAAATAAAATCTTATTTCTAGATCTTATGTGCAAAGCAAAAGTCGTATGAAACTCAGAGAGATTTAAAAACTTAACCAATTTAAAAAAATTTAAAGGAAAAACAAGACTTGTTTGGTTAATCTTCCTTTCTTGTGGGATGAAAGCTTGTTTTAAAAAACAAAATTCTGGGGGCGCCTGGGTGGCGCAGTCGGCTAAGCGTCCGACTTCAGCCAGGTCACGATCTCGCGGTCCGTGAGTTCGAGCCCGGAGCCTGGAGCCTGTTTCCGATTCTGTGTCTCCCTCTCTCTCTGCCCCTCCCCCGTTCATGCTCTGTCTCTCTCTGTCCCAAAAATAAATAAAAAACGTTGAAAAAAAAATTAAAAAAAAAAAAAAAACAAAATTCTGTCTCTCTAAAAATACTGGTATAAAGGGGCACCTGGGTGGCTCACTCAGTTAAGCGTCCAACTTCGGCTAAGGTCATGATCTCATGGTTCACGAGTTCGAGCCCCACGTTGGGCTCTGTGCTAACAGCTCAGAGCCTGGAGCCTGCTTCGGATTCTCTGTCTCCCTCTTTCTGCCCCTCATCCACTCTTGCTCTGTCTCTCTCTCTCTCTCTCTCTCAAAACTAAATAAACATTAAAGAAAATATATTGGCATAAAAATTTTAATCTGGTTATGATGAATCTGAAAAAGACAAAAACCCTGATCGATAGAACTGACAAAACAAATTAAGATTTTCAGACCATGTTGCTTTACCTGTGGGTATCCTAATCCTAAACACCTTTTTACAATGCTGAGCAATCAAATGTAAGCACTTCCAATATAACTACCTATTGAATAGGCAGTAAAAGAAAAATAATTCCAACTTTAAAATAACATTTATTACGTAAAATTTCAAACACGAAATGAGAGAAAACAAACAGGAATGAGTCCCTAAATCTCTATGACAAGTTTCAACGGCTATGAGCTCGAGGGCAATTGTTTCGTGTGTGTCCATATCTCCCCTTCCCCATAATGGATTATTTTAAAGCAAATTCCTTAAGCTCAAACATTTTATTGGTAAATATTTCAACAGATCTCTAAGGCAGGTTTTCTTAACTTCTTCTGTCATTACTGCTTCCCCCTCAAGGCACCTTTTAATACATTTTTTCCTGCCCATACGATTTTCACCGCACAGGTATACTGTGTTTCTGTACTTTATGTGTATCTGTGCTCTGCACGTAAAAAGAGCAAACTTTTTACGCATTACAGCCATATTCGCCCCATTTGGGGGACAGAACTTTCACTGGGTGATACACTCTACAATGTAAGGCCCCTTAGAACAATAAGCAAACCATTATACCATTCTAATTGCTAAACAACATTTTAGATCAAATATTCAGTGGACAAGTATGGTCTTAATGTCTTATGTGTTGTTCAATTTCAAAGATGTCGCCAGTGCCCAACATGCACACGATGTGAACAAAACCAAGTGCCCCAAGACCACACAAGCCTGACACAATCAGAACCAACGTGAGCCCTCAGGGGCGCCTGGGTGGCTCAGTCAGTTGAGCGTCCGACTTCGGCTCAGGTCATGATCTCATGGTTCTTGAGTTTGGGCCCCGCGTCAGGCTCTGTGCGGACAGCTCCGAGCCTGGAGCCTGCTTCCGATTCTGTGTCTCCCTCTCTCTCTGCCCCTCCCCCACTTGTGCTCTGTCTCTGTCTCTCAAAAATGAATAAACATTAAAAAAAATTTTAAATTTTAACTAAATCAACGTGAGCCCTCACTAACACACACAAATTATTAGTTCCTGCAGAGCCTCGTCCTCTAAGTGCTGCTTCCAAACCACCTACCACAAACAGGAGAGCCACCTAAAAATGCAGACTCCCGGGCCCCTGCTCAGGAATATGGCTAACGAAGTCTGAAAAACCAGTGTCGTTGCTGGAAAGGGAGGCTCCTGCTTTTCTTCACTCCCATTTCCCTCGAGTCCGGGGAAGCACAATGACTCTGAACTCCTCTCTCTCTCTCTCTGCACCCAGGGCCTCTCCCCCTACAAACCTGATAAGAAGGTAGAAGAGCAAACTAAAACCAAACTGTGTCAATCCTAAGGAGCCCCTGCTTTGCAGACTTCTGCACTCACACGGGGCTTATCTCACCTTGGCTTGTGTGAGGGCCGCCTTCTTCACCTGAAGCTGGGACTGCAGAAGTTTGAAGTTTTTGGACCAGCCTTCTGTTTTTGAATCACTGGTCTCTACTCCCAGGTCATCATACAGGGACATCTTTCCAGTTTAATGCTGAAAGGCAAGGGGTATGGGGTTGAAAGAATGCAAACTCCAGTAAAGATCTCACATCTTTTCATGTTAAAATAACTCAGTATCACAGAAGTTTAGAAGTAAAAGGTACTTGAGGAGATTGTCTAGTCCAGGAACCCCGAGCAAAAGCAGCCACGATGACCAATAACCACCAATCAGCGTCCTGATACGCAAAAGGATAGCCACGTATTATTTTACAAATAAATTTGCATAATTAATTTTCCCACCTACAAGATCATGTGGTCAAGTAATTCTTGAGTGAAATCATTCTGTTCTATTGTACTTAATGATTATTAGTAATTACATATTGTCAACTATATATATCCGATTTTTAAAAATTCTTTGTCTCAACAACAAAAAGTACAAACTTTACAACAGTGCATTACCAGGTTGATTTAGCACTATTAGCTACCTTTGATGGATAAGAAATCTAAACATATGCCTAGAAATAAGGAAAAAAAAGAACAGAAATGATCTCACAGAAGCTGTATTTTCACAAACTATGACTGAATGTTGAAGAGAGTCGAGTTAGTTTAAATTTGTAATCTCTAATAACACTGACCGCAAAGAGAAAATCAATAATCCACATGTAAATGATCAATACATAATATCCTTGCAGAATGGAGGAATACAAAATAACAACAAAAACAAGCAGCATTTCACACATATTAAGTCTTACCAAGCCAGGGTGGTATTAAATGCAGTTATTTGCTGTTCAAGCCTAACCTGGTACAGACCTGGGACTTTGGGAGATAAATCCGCCCAAGGTCAAGGTGAGAAGACCCACTCCAAACTTAGTCATGTGAACACAGCCCTTGCCACTAAATCCCTATGGCCACCTTTAAATTTAAATACAACCTCAACGTTCTGGGTGAAACCACAACACAGCCCACTTCTCAAAATAAGAAATCAATCTCTTTCTCACAAAGGGAAAGAGAAAAAAAAATTGACTGAAATCCCCAAACTGCAAATAAATAGCACAGGTATTTTCTGATTTATGGGCACATTCCAAAAATCTGTCAGTTCCTAGGTCTAGACAGCATTTTGCCATAGAAACCGTGTTATTTGTTTTTAATTTTTTTTGTCAACGTTTTTTATTTATTTTTGGGACAGAGAGAGACAGAGCATGAACGGGGGAGGGGCAGAGAGAGAGGGAGACACAGAATTGGAAACAGGCTCCAGGCTCCGAGCCATCAGCCCAGAGCCTGACGCGGGGCTCGAACTCACGGACCGCGAGATTGTGACCTGGCTGAAGTCGGCCGCTTAACCGACTGCGCCACCCAGGCGCCCCAAAACCGTGTTAAACAAATCCCTGTTTCGCCTGTGTCTGTCTCTCAGGAAGGGAAGGCAATACAGACGAGAAGGAAAATATTTAATTTTCCCCCCAGTTATGTCTGACTCAGGGCAAAATCTCTCTGGTCTATGCTTACGTCTCCTCGCTTCTATGGCTGGGACTCTAAGACCCTGCCACCACAAGCTGCTGGCTGTCCTCGGTTCCACTCTGCATGCGGTGGGGACCGACAGGATCCCCCCAGAGGAGCTGCTCTGGGGCTGGGCAGAGCTGCTCTCAGCCTGGAAGTCAGTGCCCACTCAACTGATGCTGCTGTTCAGTTTCTTCTAGTCCTTAATATTCGAGCCCTCAGCTTCCATAAAAGCTCTCAGGTTTGATTTCTGAATGAAAGGCCCCCAAGGTAGTACAGAAACAGGGAGAATAAAAGCAGAGCCCAGGGTACTGGTGCCTGACTTGCTCTAATGAATCACCCAAAAATGGAGGAATGCTAGCACGTTCTCCTGGGTAAGGCTTCTGTGACAACTCACCAGCTCGGCTGATAGTGCGAACAAAGAATTTCCTAGACAGCATATCCAACAGGGAAACGAATGCCCACTGCCTGCAGTGCCAGACAAAGTGAACGTTTTATTCAGGAACTTGGCAACCCATTGTCACGTTGAGCTTGAGTCACTGAGGTGATAAAGAAGAAGTAAGGAACCCACCCCGCCGCCCCCGGCATCCACTTCAATCCACACTATCGGGAAACGCCGTGAAAACCCAGACCCAGCCTGCCGAGCTCACCGCACTAGCCGCAGACTAAGCTCCCGCCTGACCCACAGCTGAACAGAAGTCAGGCCAACAGCACAGTGAATACCGTTTGCAAACCGCACCCAAGCCACCCTTTCTGAAATCTCTGGCCAATGACGACGGCCCCAGAAGGAACACTGAGGCACCCAGGATCAGAGGCTTTTGTGCACTTCCCTCACAGCCTAGCGGTATTCAAAACAATCGTTCTTATCTAAATACATAAACTTTACAGCTAATCCGAAAAACTCAGAGCAACAGCAAAGAGAAACAACGCCGCATGTCCAGCTTAGTCCCGTGGTTCTCAAACTACTTCCAAACGACCAGGCATCTTTCGTCGCGCCTGGCTGAACTGTCTGGGCTCTCTTCATTCAACCAGACACCAGACGGAAGCCTCGTTAAACCAGGGTTCGTCTGTTTTACCTTTCTTTATCTCATAAAGGCAAGGGAAGACTAACACATTCTGGGAAACAAACAGACACAATGAAGCTTTCTAGGAAATTGTAAACAAAGATCAACAAAATTTGCTTGCAACCCAAACTCCACTTCTCCCAGTAACTCCTCCTAAGAAACTTAACAACCTCATCAAAAATAGTATTTACGTGAGGGACCTGGGTGGCTCAGTTGATTAAGCATCCGACTTCGGCTCAGGCCATGATCTCGCGGTTTGTGAGTTCAAGCCCCACGTCGGGCTCTGTGCTGACAGCTCAGAGCCTGGAGCTGCTTCGGATGCCGTGTCTCCCTCTCTCTCTGCCCCTCCCGCTTGCACTCTGTCTCTCTCTCTCTCTCAAAAATAAATAAAGATTAGAAAAAAGATAGTATTTACGAATATATTTGTGCCAATGGAAACAGGTTAACTAAATGCCCACTGAACTACAAGGGAAAAGATCAGCTTATCCATTTTTGCATCTCCAATTTCTGGCACAGGGTAGGAATTTAACAAATAAACACTTGCTGAGATATTCCTAATTAAAGAAAGTCTGCTTAGCCACATGCATCAACACTGAAACTGCACAATGCCACAAGTTCCACCAGGAAGCGAAAGGCAGGCAAAAGGTTCTGGAGACAGACACTCGTGACGGGTGTACGCGTGTGTACCTACCGACACAGTACAGCGCCCTTAAACGGTCACAACCCTACGCTCTGTGTTACGTACATTCACCACAATTAAAAGCAAACAGAAGTCTAGGTAACAGGGCGGGAGGGAGCAGCCCTGGGAAAGTGAGGATGAGGTACCAGGCTGCCGTCTAATTAACTCTAGGACATCTCCCTACCAGGAAGAGTAAACTCTAACAGAAGTATTTCCCCAAATTTGGGGGTTAAAAAAAGTCAAACAGTATAGAAGATCTCTTCTTCCAACCGAGTGCTTCCATCCAAGAATCCAGTATTTAACAAAGATTTCGGGGCTGAATTAATGAGGTCCTGTGGGACCATGCTTCCTCTGATCCCTTTCCAAATTGAAGATGGCCTGTGGACCACTCCATCTGAAGTGCCTCACTCTGTAAGCTTCAAAAATGACATTTAAACTTCCTCGTATCTGTTCTCAAAACCTTCGCAAACACACTTTAAAGACAAGAAGCTGATGTCATCTTGGCAGCACCTGCTAGTTTTCTGTAACACACAGCGTACGGATCGCACCCAGAAGAGCTCCTTTGCTTTTCTCACTGGGACGGAACTTCAACTTCACAGAGCTGGATTCATCGCAGCAACGACACACTCATTACCCATCCACACACCACACACGTATGGCCCGCTTGTCGTTACTGTAACACTACAAGCGCCAGCGAATTTACCCCGTAGAACGAGAGTCAGAATCTGGACGAGAAACCGCATTCGACCCGGAAGGTCCCCCCCCATCCCATCCAAGTGATGTCCCCAGCCCAGGGGCGGGCAGGACCCTAAACCCCATTCCCATCAATCCCTCACCACCTCCTTTTATGCAACACGATTTGCGTAAGTTTACGGCACTTACTCCTTAAAAGGTGTGCACATCGTCATTTCAGCCGTTGTAAGTGTTGTAAGCACTCCTACCATAACATACCACAGCTGATTCCTTCACCCTTCCACTGCAATCACTGAAGAGGTAACTGGCATTGACCGGACTCCGCCAGGACCTCAACTTAACCTAACACGGCTTAGGTGTTCCTCGGACGACAGAACACATTTACTGTATGAAGCCTCCTGCCACGTAGTAAAAACTAGTGCTTTCTAACATCTGGGTACGCTTTAAGCCAGGGTCAAATACAGGCACAAACACATCACTTTTAGAACTTCTTTAAAATACCTGCTATCTCTTTTTTTACCGGAACACCACACTCTGATCGCCACGTCTTTCCTACACGCTCCGTTTTTCTTCCTTGAGAACAAACACGGTAAACGTGGTTCTGCCGTGAGAACGGTGACTTTTTAAAATCCTACCCAAGCTGGCAAAGTATTTTTTACATGTACAACTAGTACAGAAAGAACGTGCAAGGAGGCTGCTCAGAAGCAGCCCGCCTAACTCCTCTCTCCAGTGCATCTCTGAAGCCTTTAGTGACAGCTGCCCCCACACAAAACCACCCACCCCCATTTGTTCCCCCAAACACACTCACGTCGGAGCAACCTGTACATGTTACGCTGCCTCCTGGCTGACACTCCTGTCTCTTCCTCTTTTACACGCCCCTTAAAGGCGGAAGGTCTGTTTTCGTCTTCATCTTTGTATCTCCAGCTGAGCACCACGCTTCGAACGCTGTGAGCACTTCACAAATACCCTCTAAATGTCTTAAGCATGAAGCGAACGGGTGGAAAACGGCAGTGCCCCTACTTGAATCACATGGTGAGACAAGATCTGCAGACCTGCCTTTTAAGGCCACGTCTTACAGTAAGTGGTGCTGGACAGAACTAAGGTGAATTTTAAATCGTCGCCATCGCAACGGGAGGAACACTACCACCACCACACAGCTAACCACGAGGCAAGGTCTGAGTTCTGAGCCCCTAAAGCAGCAGCACGGCAAGAGGCTTTCTTCTTTTCAATCATTAGATAGATACTCAGCTATCACACAGCAAAGCTGAAGCCTGAACAAGACAGGAAGTACATACAGGCAGAAGGAAAAAGAGGGGAACAGAGGAGGGGCCGGGCACGTTGACGTCCACCAAAATGACCGGAAATAAGTACTAAGAGGCATCTGCCTCGTATAAAATTAACAGAGACTTTTTGAAGAATTAAAACACTTTTTTCAGACCCCCCGGTCACATCCAGTCTTAGGCTGGGGTGGACTGCAACAGAGTCCCCGAGCGTCATCTACAATTTGCGTGTCTGGCGCAACATCCTTCACTGTTTACTATTACAAAGACTTGAGGGATCACTAGCCCCTGGATCATCTGTTCCCTGAGGGTGGTTTTAAACCAGGTAAAAAGAAACCCGCTTTATACGGTTACATTTGGGAACACAGCGACAGTTCTCCCCAAACTCTTATTTCCCGTGGAGGTTGCCCTTAGTCATCACAGAACTCCACAACCAGCATGGCTTTTCACCGATGACACTTCTATTACGCCTCGTTCTTTCTCGTCCACCTCACAATCCACTTGCTCTAAGCCGTGCGGTATGCAGCACATTTCTTAGCAAAATTCTAAAACACACCCTCTGCTTAAGTTACTAATTCACTACTCCCTATGCCCTAACTATCCCCAATACAGTCAAAACAGCTGTGGTCTTTATGACCTAGAAATGGGGAAACTGAGCTGCACTCTACAAACTCCACCTGTTGCCAGGAGACACAGTCCTCATCCGAGTACACGCAGAGCTTTACCCTTATCCAGAACACTCTATTTTCGATCCATATCCTTGCCTCTACGAGAAGTACCTTCCACGCCTCTCCGTTACCGACTTCTCAGAGAACGTTCTCCATCTCGCCTGACTACCCACTCCTCCAAACTCTACCTTACCTGCAATTTCCAGAACGCACTATGCGGCTTCACCTGTGTTACCTGGTACACTTACTTCCTCTGCAGGAACCTATCCCCGATCTTGCGCATCTAACACAACACCCCCAAGGCTCCGTTATAAGCCTCGTTCCCTCTCGTCCCCACTCCAGTCCCTGGATCAACCTAGGCTTGGGTTTTGAGGCTCGTTCCCCTGGAGACCAAACTCCCTGCGAGGAGGGGCCGACTCTCATTTATCTTGCACCTGCTGTTCAGGACGCACGGTCTGGGCACGGAGAAACGCTCAAAGACAACGCTTGGTGACTGCACATCGGAGCTGAAACCCCGCTTCTCAAGCTCGAGGACCGAGGGGATGCCGGAGCCAGGTCTTCCATCGGTGGCTAGGTACACCGCGGCCTTTGAGAAGCGTCAGCATCCGGAGCTGCCCGTTCTGCGGCCGGGGAAGGAAGCGGCTTCCCTCCTCTCCGCTGCCCGAGGCCCTGGAGGGGCCAAGGGTGCCGGGCCACAGGTGACACAAGCCTGGCCACTAGGGTCTAGGGACCGAGCAACTTTTTCAAAACGCGGAAAAAACCCACAACGTCCGCGGGTCCCAGGGACGGAAGGGCACGGACGGGAAAGGGGAGAACAGGAAGACAGGAGGAGCTCGAGGGCCCGGTGCCCCGAGGCAAATAAAGGAAAGCGGCGGCGGGCGCGAGGGCAAACTCGGCGGGTCGCCCGCCGCCGGGGCCGGGGGCCCGCCGGGACGCCGGCCGCTCGGAGGGCCGCTCTGGGACCTCTCGTCCCCTCGCGGCGCGGCCTACAGCCGCGGCCTCGCGTGCAGCGCCGCCCGGGGAGGCGCTCCAGCCCCGGCTCCCCGCCAGGCCGCGCGCCCCGACGCCGCCTCGGGCGCCACTTACCCGGCCTGCCCGGCCGACTCTCCCCATGGGCCGCGGCGGCGCACGGGGGCCGGGGCGCCGCGGAGAGGGCGGGCAGGGCGCACTCGGCGTAAGCCCGCGACGGCCGGACCCGAACCGGCGCCAACCCCTACGCCGAGTCCGCAGGGCGCGCGGCGGCGCGGGGTCAAGGAGCGCGTGCGGCCGGGAGAGGGGCACGCCGGCGCCTGCGCCTAGGGCCGCCTCGCCGCGGCGCCCTCTTCCGGCGGGAGGACCGCACTGCACCTCCCCTCCGCCGGCGTCCTTCTCCAGCGCCGAGAGGAGTCGCAGCAGCCCGACTTTGAGACATTTCAGACTCTCGGGAGAGCCTGGCAGTGCCCCCAGATGGTGAGGAGCAGAAATGGTCCGAGGCTGCAAAGATCTGTCCTTGGGAGTCAACTGCGTTCCAACAGGACAGAGGCGCAGAATTCCTCCAAGCCCTTCGTTGTCATTCATTCAAAACCATCCATGTCCAAGCACAAAGCTGAAAATAGGTCACCACAGGCGAGGTGAATGGGAAGGCTGTTCCAAAACGAATACATTGAATTAAGTGTCCGACTAAGGAGACAATAAATAAAGGAGTTTAGGGTTACGCAAGAGAACGTGAATGCTGCAAAGCCTCACAATTTTAAAAGGATATAACAAAAGGTGGGAGGAAAGGGAATGTGGGATTTGGTGTAAAAATGATTTCCACCTCCATAATGATGGGGAAAAATATTTCGAGCTGATAAATTATAGAGATTGAAAATATGCATCTTCGTACAAAGGAACATAGTAACAAAAAAATATAATCAACTAAAATCTGGTGATTAGGAAAAGGGAAAAAAGAAAGAAATACCGTAGGGAGTCAACAGACAATCTAAAGAGATAGATGATTAAAGACATCAAGTAACATTATAATTATAATCACAGTAACAAACATGCAAACCTTTCAACTGATTAAAACATATGCACACAACTAGAAACAAAATCACAGAGTGAATTGTCTGGAAAGTTACAAAACAGAAAGCACAACAAAATAATATACTAGAACTGAGACGGAACATCTTATGTGAATAAAAGTTAAATGTACTCAACGTGCTTATCTAAGAAACACAACTTCATATTCAAGCCCTAACCATAACACAGCTTTATGTTACATATAAGAAAATGCATAAAATAGTCATTCAGAAAGCTTGAAAACACAAGAATGGAAAAGATATAACAGGAATACGCGAACATAAGGGTATTGGGGATCACAAACTTACTGATTTCAGGGCAAAAAGCATTAAATGAGATTAAGAAGAACATTCTAAAATGATAAGAGTTACAAGTCACAATGAAGAAAAAATAGGAGTATCTGCACACTGAATAACATAATCTCATTGCGAATAGCAAACACTATAGGAGATATAAAAAGAATGAATAGTTAGAAATAATTGATGCAGTTCTTGCCAGACTAAGGGCACAAGAGGTAAGAGAGGACAGAGAAGATCTAAAAATAGAAATGATATGGTAGATCTAATATATCAAAGTCTGTGTCCTGATCCTGAAACAGAGATTACATCTTTTCAAGTGTCCTTAGAACACTCACAATTGGCCATATGTCAGGCCACAGGCAAAATCTTAAAATACCCCAGTAAGTAGAACCACATGGATGACATTATATGATCACAATTCTATAAAACCAGAAATTAATGACAAAACAGAAAATAAAACATTCCTATTACTTGAAAATGTTAAATGCTTAGATAACATTCGGCTCAAAAAGGAAAACAAAAATGAAATAGAAAATGCCTGAAAAAGTATGAAAGTGAAAATGACATATCAGAACCATGGGATTTAGCTAAATATTACGCAGAGGAACACTCATGATTTAAAATTTTTTTTTAACGTTTATTTATTTTTGAGACAGAGAGAGACAGAGCATGAACAGGGGAGGGGCAGAGAGAGAGGGAGACACAGAATCTGAAACAGGCTCCGGGCTCTGAGCTGTCAGCACAGAGCCTGACGTGGGGCTCGAACTCACGGACCGTGAGATCATGACCTGAGCCGACGCTTAACCAACCGAGCCACCCAGGCGCCCCTGAACACTCATGATTTTAAATGATCATATTAATTAAAGAGTTAGGATACACTAAATGAATTAAGCACCCATGGAAAGAAATTAGAACTAGAACAAAATATACCTTTGAGAAGAAGGATGTAATGGATAAAGATAAGAGCCTAAAATCGCGGGATATAAAACAGAAAAATATAGAATTAAAAACTAAATCCAGGAGCTGATTGTTTGAAAGTAAATAGGTAAGCCATTAGCTAAACAAGAAAAAAAAGAATAAAGTACAAATGTACAAAATATGGAATAAAAGCAATTAGCTCCAGACACAGGAAAGTAAAGTTATATTAAGAGAAGACTTTGTTTGGTTTTATCAAATAAGTCAGAAAATCTGGATCAAGGAGTTAATTTGTAGGACAATATGGTTTCTTAAAATGGGCCTTAGACAAGTTATAAAATTTAAATAGACGAGGATGAGCCAGCACAGTAGCAATACCTAACAAATACACCCCAAAGAAAGCTATAGCCATTTTTGCTTAGGACTGTTAAAGTAAAAATCCTAAATAAAATATGGTATGGCACTAGGACAGAAATCCTCAGTCCTAGGGCGAGGCCCTGCCCAGTGCTGTGGGATCAGCCCTTGGCGAGAAGGAGAACATTCTGGCAGGAAGATAAACACGCTCAGGGCTGGAGTGCTCACTGAATTAGAGTCCAAGCTTTGGAGGGTTTGTTTGCAGGGTTGGCTTGGGCACCTAGGTCTGTGGGGGTCAGCTCCATTTCAGAAGTGAGGATTTCCA